GCAGAGTAAGGAAGAGGCCGGCCAGCTGCGGATCTTTCGCGAGGAGGCAGGCAAGTCTAACGTGGACCATGTAGGCGCTGCTGGTGCCAAGTTGTGCGGAGGAAGAAAGGAGGCTGCAGACGGCCGAAGAACAGCTTCAAGCTGAGCGCGCAAAGAGCCTGGCGCTAGCTGAGGCTGACTAGGGGGGGGGCAAAGTTGTCGCTGGTTTAGCCTGCTTCGACGGATTCTGTTCTGAAGTTGGCTTTCAGGAGCTGCAGCGGGCGCAGCGGGCTGTGGCTGAAGCTGAGCACCTTCGTTCCGAGCGTACCCACGACGCCGTGGAACCGGGTACGGAGGATGGGTGCCCCATTCCTTCCATGCTGCCTAAGTTTTGCCATGCTGGTTATGCAGCATCGTAATCAATAAAGGATCCAAAGCTGCCCGATGAGCTGGTCCCACGCCTGCAGCCGCTGCAGCCGCCCCATTCGGCGGAGGTCTGGGAGTTCCATGTTTGCTGTCGCTGTCTGCTCCTCCGTTGGATTTGTGTTATGCCGGACTTGCTAAAGATAGGTCTTCCCTGAATTGAACAGGATAAGAGGGGTGTTGAGTTTTGTACAGTTTTGCCTGTACTGTACAATGTCACAACCCAGAATCATGCTGGTATAGCAGCACCTCGTGAGCGACACAAAATTTGTTATTTACTCATGAGGCCGACGATCATCAAATCCTTCGTCTCCACTATGAGGAGGATGGGCGCGCCAGAGAATGTCTGTGGATGTTCATAATCTGGCAGCACTTTGATTTGGGGCCTGCCGGGGTGTGCATTCTTCTGGGTTGCTGTTAAGGAACTTAAATTAAGTTACTATATTGGGGAAACCCTATTATTTACTATGTGTACCCATTATGATAGCTTAATTCAAGTTCCCTAACAGCAACCCAGTCTCATGGCTGACTTCTTAGCAAGGATGCGCGCAGAGCCCAAGAGCAACAACTGCAAGCCGAGCACGAGAAGTCCGAGGCGTTGGCGGAGGCGATCCGCTCGACTCTGCTTAGTGACCGGGCAGACCCGTGTGTATTGGAAGTTTCTCAACATGACCCCTGCTTAGTCATAAGTTATAATAATAGTAACAATAAGGGCATCTTGGGACGCCTACGTAGCCTCAGTGTCCCCAG